TGCTTTCTGCAGAGATTTTCTGTGTCAAATATTTTTTTATAAATTTATTACAATGTGGGAAGGCATAGGGAGATTTTTAAACTTCTGAGAATCGTGTTTCCTTTTTAATATGTATCTCTTTCAGCAGTATCTTTTTTATATGATAGCATATTTTACTTGTAGTACATTAGTCTCAAAATTAAGTTGTAATTTCATATCTGTGGGGCTGATATTTAGTCTTTTGTAACATGCAGCTAAAAATGGAACTTTATTTTTACAGATGCAGATCTCAGGTAAATGAGCTTTAGGACTGTAGTAAGGACAAGTAGTTAAGACGTGTGCCTATAATACCCTTGTTTTATGATACTCTAAGAATGCAATAAAAACGACATTATTGTTTCCTAACTACGTCATAGCTATATATCCGTATATATGTATAGGTACGTATGTGTATGTGTGTATATATATACACCTATACATGTATATGCATGTATACACACACATACCCGTGTGTGTGTATATATATATGGGTATCTTGGATGTTTACAGCAATTTAGAGAACGCGTAGAAGAAAGCTAATATTGGAAGTTATTTTCAGGTAAGGAGTATAGGTTACTTATGTGATTTCGGTGGGGGCTATCCAAATGGCAAATAGCAGAGCTGATCATGGGAAATGTTTAATGATTTTACAAACTGTCCAGGTAGTTCTTGTTTCCCTTCATCCCTCTGCATGGGGATAAATCATACTGCCCTACAGGCCTCTCTGAGATATTCAAACCTGCAAACACTTACTACCATAGAGTAATCACGGTTAAAATCAGGAATATTGAACTCCACTGAATTATTCACAGTATTAACTATGACACACAGTAGGAGGCCAGCGGAATAGAGCACCGTGTCAAGGAGCTGTTGATTTTAGAGAAACTTGGAGCAGAACAGCAGAATTTGGCCCCTTACAGGCAAGTTATTAAAAATATGCACGTAAGATATGCTTGCAAAAATCATGTGCCCTTCTCGCACAAAGTTGTAATTGCACTTTTTGATCAGGGAAACCTGTAAAATCAGTTACATATATTTCCTGAATACACAGTTGTTCTCTATCCTTGTATCTACATTGGTTGTAGTTCCACCAAGGTGATGATTTCTATTTAGATTATTTTTTTAAATCATGAGCACAGGGAACATGCAAGTGTCTCACAAAAGTAGTCGAGATGAAATCACTTCTATTTTTTTCTTGAAAAATTGAATTAAAAGGTATCTCTTTTTTGCGAGAGTGCAAATTAAATAAAGGAATGAGCCAAAAAAGTAAGTTGGTTTAAAAATTTTAACTTTCTTTATAAGCTGCATGTGTAGACTTTGTAAACATGTTCAGATATCTGCTTAGAACATACAAACTAAACTGTACTTTTTGAAAATAACCTTACATGTGTTTCTTGCAACGAAAAATGTCTTTCACTGAACATAACATAAAATTCTGTATGATTTCTTGATGCTTTTTTTCATGACAAATACAAAGTATTGACTGTGTGAAGAATGTCTAAATCCAACTAAGCATTTAAGAACTGATGGTTCTTACCAGAAAACCAACAGTGTCCGTCACAGTGATCAATGTTTTGTCACTGCTCCCTTTTCCCCCTCCCATCTCTTTGTACCCCCCTGTTTGGAAATGGAGACTGTAAGCCCTTTGGGGCAGGGACTGTAGTACTTCAGCTCTGGGTTTGCACAGTGCTAATGGGATGCGATTCTGGTCCACGAGTAGGCACTGAGGTGCTATAATAATACAAATAATAAATACTAATAGGCTCACTTGTTTGTTATTCGCCCTCCCCCCACGTTGTCAGCACAGCAGAGATCCGAGTGACAGATGCGGAGCTTGGTGGCACCTCTCTGATCCCAGGGTGCGCAGCCGCGGCAGCCATGGGAGCAGCCAGGGCTTTACTCAGACTCGTGCCATGGCCGTAAGCCCCGTAAGGAAGCTTATGCTGGCGGGGGATCAAGTGTGGTGGAAGCTCAGCCCCACTTCATCCGCTCCCCCTCCTCACCCCGTCCCCCCCGCCATCGCTCCGGGAGAGGAGCGTGTGGGAGAAGCTGCTGCATGGCTCTGGCAAGGTTTCCCAGCAGCTCAGCCTGCTCGTACAAAGAAAGTCTCTGACCCAGTTAGGGCTGGTGTGCGCTGGCATCCCAGAGCTCGGCAAAGCGGGGAAATCTGTGCATCGGCTTCAATGGCACACACCAGCAATTTGCAAAGCTCGGCGCCAAGCGTGGTGGGAAGGGAGAGGTGCGGAAACCCATTCACAAGTTCTCGTTTGTGCCCGGGATGCAGTTTTGGTTTTTATTTGGGCTGTAGTTCAAGTGTGTTAAACTGGCAGGGTGTGTGCGGAGCAGCAATCCTGTCTCCCCCGCCTCCTCGGCCACTCGTGTGCCAGTACAAACATTTCTGAACCCTTCCAGTGGACCAGATGAGCGAAGTGATCTGCCTGTAAAGTACCCCAGTAAACAAAAAAGGGATTATTTTACAGACAGATCGTTTTCCCAAGCCAATTCAGCCCCCAGCCACCACGAGCAGCTGACTTCAGGCACCAGAGGGGGTGGCGAGGGGGCAGGCAGGACGGCTCCGTCACAGATGGTGCCACATTATGCCAGTTCAAAGTTTTTGTTAAGTGCAGCCTTAAAACTATTTGACTACACACATTGACTGAAATAAACTGTACCGGAGTTTGTCCTCCCTTCATTTTTTCTTGCTAGCCAGATCAAACTTCGCTCAGCATGCGCGTCCGGCAGCTCTCCGTGTGAGTGCAAGCATTCATCGCGCAGTTAGTGCAGCACATTAGCCAGAAACTTAAATCCCCCAAAATGCTTAAACGTGTGGACTCTTTTCCCTACCAGCTGTTGTAAAACGCTGCGAACGATTTCCACTACATACATTACAGAGTACATAAGTGCATCTGTAATTAGGCGTCCATAGACAGATGAAGATTTTCTCCGTGAACACCGGCACAAAGATTCCTGTGCTCTGAAAAGCGAGTGCTTCCCCTGTAAGCAAACAGTGCTCAGCTTCCCGGCGCTATCCCAGTCCGTGTCCGCACCCCTCACCGGCTCGCTGGCGGAGAACATTTTATACCTCCAAGCTTGCTGGCCTGGTCTCAAATGGTGCTTTCTGGTAGAATAGAGCGCGGAAATAGCCGTAAACTCCAGGAAAATGGTCGGTGGCTGATTCCTTTGCAGTGTGTCTTGTTGAGCTTGTCAGATTTTACAGAACAAGTGTCAGCATGTTTCATACGTGCTGAAGGACTGATATTTTCCCTTTCATTACACTAGCTAATCTCACAGTATTAAAGAAATTTGCATGTATTGGAGCACTTACCCAGGGGCTCACAGGCGGTATTCTCCATATTTCATCTAGAATTTGGTTCCTGTTGGCAATGGCTTCAATTAAAGCAATAAAAATATCACTTACCACCAGCCATTCTGCTATCAGCATTAGAGCTATGCTGTTCCTCAGCAAGGCTGGCTCTGTTCAGTGTATGCACAGGAGATGTGCAAGGGGATCTTTGAATAATGAAGTAAGACTTAAGCCACTATATCAAATTAACACAGACCGCACTTTTTTTCCTAGTAAGTTCCTAGAGCTACCAAGACTCTTTAAATTATTTTTTTCCTTTATGCCAGAAGGGAAACTGTACACAAAAATGTGCTCTCTTTCAGTACTGTATCGCCAAGACCGAAAACGTAGAGAAGTCAGAATTATGGTTCCTACAGCAGTTTCCATTTTACAGTGTGTTACAGTTAAGCCTTTCATAAAACATCTCCCCAACACTAAGGAATGCGACAAATCATTCACCAACGGCGGAAGAAGGAATTTCCATTTTCTTTTAATCCATGCCCCAGACATGACAATAGCACTATAGGATACTGCATTTTATATGCATGCTGTGTTCAAGTAGCAAAAGAACTACGTTTATTCAGAAGAGGAGTAACTGTTGACACTAACTCTGGATTTCCGTGGGGTTTGCTCCTGAAGTTTTAATTTTAAAATGCATTGCAACAGTGGGTTTGTACTTCTGTACTTTACAGCCCATTGTATTTATACAGTGAATTTTAGAGTAAAATGGATTGGAGGTTGAAGTGTGCCCTTTCTCATCACAGAATGGGAAGGCACGTACGTATTTCCCAACACAGAGAAGCAGAATTCTGTATCTCGGCATACTAAATTTAGTTACTATTTTAGTTACAAGAAATCGTGTGCTGTTTCCCTTGTATACTGCTATGAAATCCGTGCATACAAACAATGTCCTGCAGGGCAGCCTGGTAACAAGACAGACCCACCTCATATAGATGGTATGAGAACTAATTAACGTTCAGAAGGCTCTTTAATTGCAGTCCCTTTTATACAATCACCGAAATCTGTTCAATCACACGGAATACTTCAGTGCATACCCTAATATACAGCATTTATACATTCATTCTCTGCAACCTTTTATGCACAATACCACTGTGTGCTCCGTTAATATCACAACCTAATACACTATGCTTTCTTCAGTTAGCTACCGACTTTCAGTTTTACTAAAAGCTGTTATTTTTTTAGTGAATACTCAGGATTTTTAT